CTTTCCAGGAGGTGACAAGCTCTACCTCTCCAGATGCTCACAAGTAAGTCTTCCTTTCCCCCAGGAGCTCATGCCCCTCTTTGCCTATCTCAACCTGCTCTCTGTGCATTTTTTAAAGAAATTTGTCATTAAAAGCTACTGTTTCTCTTGTATTGTTCTTATTCTTTCTCTTCTCATATTCCTCTTCATCATATCCCATATGGCCTGAGAAGAACAGTATAGACAACTGTATTCCAAGACATCTCCTTAAGCCCATTCCCTGCCTGGCTGGTAGAGAAGCTGGCATAACATGGCTGTGCTCTGTAATGTACAGCAAGGAAGACGTACTGGGGTTGGAGTCAGAGGCCTGAATTTAGATCCTGTTTTTGTCTTACACCTACTGTGTGACTTTGGAGGAATCTTGAAAAGTCTTAGACCATTGGATTCTCCGTTTAAAAAATGGAGATGATGATACTTTCTTCCTTGGGCAGTTGTGACGATTACATAAAATGATGTTCTGGGAAAGCACTCTAAAAAATTGTTAAAGCATTGAATAGGGTATTGATTCACATTCGTTACTGCTGTGTGACTGTGCAGAAAGACAGAGTCTGATGTGGGAGGAAAATTACAGCACAATCATTATGCTGAACCAAAGTTGAAGAAGAAAAATAATAATAATAATTCTAGCAATAGCAGCCACCATTAACTAAGTAGTTACTCTTTGCCAGTTGCTGTGCTAAAGGCTTTATATATGATAGCTTAATTCCTAGAAAAGAAAAGTCCTGTGATGTAGGTAATATAACCGTTATTTTATAGATGTGAAAATCAAGGCCCAGAGAGGTTAATTAATTTACCCATACTCACACAGCTTGTCATTGGTAGAACTCTGATACAAACTCAGATCTTCAAACTCTTATAATGCAATATGGGCGCTTTCAGAAAATCAATTTTAATTAAATCATATTTGCCTATCTCGATGAGAGCACACTTGGTTTTGATGGTACTTCTCCAAGGTCCTAAAAAAGCCTCTAGTGAATTTAACCCTGTAAGATAATTAACTGTCATTCAGGAAAAATTAAAAAAAAAAAATTAAAAGGAGAAGAAGAAGAAAAAAGTTTCCAAAGTTAAATTTCTCTAATCTTTTTTGATAGAAAGAAACAGATGTCTTCAGTATTCAGTGGCTTATTTGTTTGGTCATTTCAAGAAAATTTATTATCTATCAATAATTGCAGAGGAGTATGGGACATTAGATACTTACATATAACCCTTAAATCTGTTGAGGTGATTGTTGGGTTTCTCACACACGATGGTATTATGGAAACATTCTGGTTCAAACTGTACTCCCTGCAAGATAGAGGATTCTGTAAGTTTATTAAATCAGAAGGATCAAGTCTTAATAGGATCATTGAGAGAGCTAACCACCATCAAAACCATTGCAAATAAGGTAATCCGTTCTTTGTTGCACCATGATAGTTGTTAATATGTTAGAAAAAAAGAATTAAATCCTCATTAAGGAGGAGAAAGTAGATACAAGTGAAAAGTGGGATGAGAGAGACTTTTCTCTGTCTTGACCAAGTCTCTCTGGATGGCTAGTGTTTGAGTCTCTAGTCCAGTGCTGTCCAGCTCAAGCTATAATGATGGAATGTCCTGTTTGTGTTATCCAATATGGAAGTCACTAGCTATATGTGCTATTGAGTAGTTAAGTGTTGTAGTCTGACCAAAGTCTTAGTACTTAATTTAATATAATTTTAATTAAATGACTACATGTGGCTAGTAGCTATCACAGTGGACAGCATAGAAATAGATGATCAAAAAGAAGGAATTATAAATAATACCATCTAGAATTAGCCACAGATAATATGTATATAATACTTCCAGGGTTTGAAAAATGTATATTCACATACATATATGTATGTAAGTACACACATACACATTCATGCATTTTAGTAGTGAGATTCAGTATTCATATAACTTGAACATTTTTACATGTTATTCAACTTTTCTATAGCTTTTTAAACACCCAAACCTGTAGTATGACTGCATCATATTTCCTTTAAGTATTTTACTGTTGAATATTTGTTTCAGTTTGTTTTGCTATTACAACAAATGCTGTGAAAATAGTGACTAATAAAACAAAAAAATAGTATTTACCAGGTCCTTATTTCTGCCAGACATTGTGATATGAACTGTGCAATATCATGTGCTTTCAAGCTTATACCTAGTCTATGGAGTAGGAACTTTAATTATCCTTTTTTTAGAGATGGGAAATCTGTGACTCCAAAAGGTGAATGAGGCAGGACATGGTCATACCAGGGCTGGCATTGGAATTCAAGTCGAAGTGCATAGCGTCTGTTCTTCACTTGGACAGAATGCTGCCCCTGGGACACACACTTGTAGCTAAGTATTGGAAACACGTCCTTGATGCTTTACTTTTTTTTTGTTTTTTTTTTCAGTTGTACAAACTCTTACAGTCCAGTGGGGTAAGGCACAGCCAGGGGGAAGGTCTTGCTTTCTAACTATGCTTCCACACTCACTAATGCTGCATTCAACTCTTGAGCCTCAGTTTCTTCATTTGTAGAAAGGAGCTAACATTACCTGCCCTGCCCTTTTTATTTGCACCTGGAAAGATAGAATCTATGTGGAAAAGTTTGGAAACATGTAATATGCAATGTAAACAGAAGTGCTGAAGGCAGGATTGGAAATGGTTTCCTGCAACCTGTAGTATGACTGCATCATATTTCCTTTAAGTATTTTACTGTTGAATATTTGTTTCAGTTTGTTTTGCTATTACAACAAATGCTGTGAAAATAGTGACTAATAAAACAAAAAAATAGTATTTACCAGGTCCTTATTTCTGCCAGACATTGTGATATGAACTGTGCAATATCATGTGCTTTCAAGCTTATACCTAGTCTATGGAGTAGGAACTTTAATTATCCTTTTTTTAGAGATGGGAAATCTGTGACTCCAAAAGGTGAATGAGGCAGGACATGGTCATACCAGGGCTGGCATTGGAATTCAAGTCGAAGTGCATAGCGTCTGTTCTTCACTTGGACAGAATGCTGCCCCTGGGACACACACTTGTAGCTAAGTATTGGAAACACGTCCTTGATGCTTTACTTTTTTTTTGTTTTTTTTTTCAGTTGTACAAACTCTTACAGTCCAGTGGGGTAAGGCACAGCCAGGGGGAAGGTCTTGCTTTCTAACTATGCTTCCACACTCACTAATGCTGCATTCAACTCTTGAGCCTCAGTTTCTTCATTTGTAGAAAGGAGCTAACATTACCTGCCCTGCCCTTTTTATTTGCACCTGGAAAGATAGAATCTATGTGGAAAAGTTTGGAAACATGTAATATGCAATGTAAACAGAAGTGCTGAAGGCAGGATTGGAAATGGTTTCCTGCGTAGAGCTTTTAGCTTGGGAAGTGAATTTACCACTGAAAGCTTCAAGGTACAGCTGTTCAAAGGGGCAAATTGATTTGAAGAAATGATAGCATTTTCTGGCTTTGTGTAAATACACTGTCCATTGGATCCATGTGGGTGCCAATATAAATAAACCCTCCATTCACTTGAAATAAATTACCCATCGAGGAGTTTCTAAAAATACGGCCCTTTTCCCTCCAGGTATCGATTCTTTCAGGGACAAACACTTGCCGAGTTCTGAGATGATGACAGATCACACTGTAATTTGTCAGTGGCTTTCATGCTCCTGATTAAGTTGTGTGTTCACTGCTGATCCATACTGCTCAGCTCATTGCTGAGTTTCTAAATCCAAACTCATTTCAGGTATGAGTGGCAGCAAGGTTTGAGCATTAATGATCCTTCTGCAGTGACTCTGAGTCCCTGTGTCTCATATCCTGTAGATTCCAAGTGATGGTGACTGTCACTCCTCTGCCATGTTTCCCAGCAACCTTCCTGGTGAAGTGTCCTTTTCCTGGTGCTGTGTTCTGCTTTCCTCTGAGCACTAGCTTTCCTCTCTTCTTGGAGAGGTGGCCTTGCTCCTTCTTGCTACTTATTCCCTGGGTTCCTTCCTTCCCTCCCTTCCCAGGAGTCCTGCTGTCTCCAAAGACTGCCATCAGGCTCTGCTTGCTTTTAAAGCTTTGCTCACCCAGGTTGAGGGGAATTGTCAAGCTTTATAAATCTGTTAGGATCCTTATTTTAACCTCCCTCAGGGGTTTCCGTTTCCCCTCAGAGATGGGGTAGGGCTTCTCCACCACCCAGGGGTTTTTCTAGCTTATGGATAGAGCTCACTCAGCTGACTTTTTCTTTTTGAACCAGATTTTCTGTAAGGCACTGCGCTTTGATGAAAGTCGAACTAACCAGAAAATGGTCTGGGGACCCGTCAAGGCACAGGAAAGGATAAGCCCTTTCTACAGGAGAGTGTGTGTCTCTTGGCTTTTTAGGTGAAACCTATCTATCTTGTACTCTGTGCCAGGTACTTGTCATTGAGTCCTCACAGTAACCTTAAGAGGTTTGGACAGATGGGCAGATGGAGAGACTGAAGTAGAGTAATTGTCTCATGGTTGGTAAGTAACAAAGCCAGGATCACAACTCACATCAATAGAACCCAGAGCAAACTGTTGTTCTTGTCATCATCATCATTATCATTGTCATCATTACTGTTATTTCTCTAACTCCTCTTCCTCTTACTGCATGTACTGCTACAGCACTTCTTGAATGCTTATTATGTGCCAAGAACCAACTAAGTATCTCATAAATACTATGCTTTTGAATTTTTAGAAAAGAATGGTCTATTTATTTATTTAATTCTAGTTGTTGTTATTATTTTTTAATTTGACCAGAGAGAGAAAGAGACAAAGCAAGCTGCCAGGTCTGGAATGCAAACTGAGATCAACCATGTGGGAATCCAGCACCTCTAACCACTGCACCACCTGCCGACTTCTCTCTTTGAATTCTTATAATAACTCTGTCAGGTAGGTACTGTTATTATCCCCACTTTACAGAAAAAAGAAACTATGGTTTGGGAAAAATTCATGATTTTACACAGCTAGTAAAGAGGGAAGATAGGCTTCGACCTAGGGCTGCTGACTTCAAAAGAACATGCCCTCTCAACCACAATGTTATTTGAACACACAGAGGAAAGCTCAGCATTGAAGCTGTCCTCTTGGCCCTATGTTCCATTCTTTGTTCACATCCTATTTCTGATGAGTGAAGTGCTTAATATAAGCAATCCAATGTGTTATATGTCCTAAGCATATTTACTTCTCAAAGTAGGGTACCTACAAAAGACAAGGGTAAAAGTTAAGGCACTAAACTGCCTAGAGGACATTGTTTTGAGGATTTTAACTTTATTTTTAGCAGTTAATAGGTTTTTCTTTTGTTTTATTATTACTATTATTTTTGACACCTCCTGTATAAAACCCATTCTAATCCTCACAGACACTTTCAACCCAGCCAATTAGCCTTAACTGCTCCTTTTCATGTGCTTCCTCCCTGAACTTCTTATACCTCCATCTGACACGTGTGTAGATCTATGTGGCCTCTAGTAGACTGGCAGCTTCCTTTGGGGAATCTCGTGAAATACCATTTTTTTTTTTTTTACCAGATACACCATAAAGATTTATTGAGGCAAGATCAGTACTAGAGAGGGTGGAGAGGGTGATATTTGGAACACATATATTGAAAGGTTCTGGATGAGGAGATATAAAGCAGACCACACTGGAAAGACTGACTCATGCCACTAAGAAAAACCCCAGGTACAATATAATTTTCATTTGGATTCACAGGAATAGGGCTATCTCCTTTATGGAAATTCTTTGGCTTAACTAATAAAACATCAGATCTCAACCTGGGCCAAGCTTGCATTTGTTCATTTTTACATCCAAGCATTTATTGGATACCCAAGATATATGAGCCATAGGGAAGTGAGAGATCAGAGAGGAGGAAAGGGTTATTGACACAAATCAATTATTGCAGCCATAAAACAACGCAGGGTTTCCAGTCTATCTCAGGTGCATCAGTGGTGGTACCTTTGAAAGCAAAGGACAGTGGACCAAGTGTCTGTGTGTAATAAATGACTTAGGGTTGAAGTACTCCTCACTAACCTGTGTCCCAGATACAGCAAGTCTGTAACACCCAAGGAAGCTGAGAATGCCAAGATGAAGCAATCAAGCCAAAATATATTCTTGTATCTAGAATAGACCATTTCCTTTGTATTTCCCTCGAGTTTTACTTTTCTAGGCTTATTTTCCATAACTGGATTTTAAGTTGATCAACAAATATGATTAAATAAATGTATGAATGATCTTTTGAAATTGTTTGTAGTAGATAATTGTTTTCTGGTTCTTTTTTTTTTTTTTGAGAGGTTTTTTGCTATAGGGCACG